CACATCTACAGGTGCTTCTGGGAAGGAAATGGTGAGTGTCCCACGTGATGAATATGAGAAATTTCTTCAAACATCTTCTCAGTTGAATACGACTACTCTTGCTCATTCAGGTATGCCTTGCTTGCATCCAAACCTTCATATTAGATTATTGACTCTAGAGCCTTTGATCATATGACTGGGACTCCAGGTGTGTTTTCCTCTCTTTCCCAATCTTCCACATCTCAAACAGTGACCCTTGCTAATGGTTCTACTTCTCCCACTTGCGGTGTTAGTGATGTACACCTCACATCTTTATCTTTATCCTCTATTTTATATGTACCAAAATTTCCTTTTAACCACATATCTGTTAATAGATTGACTAAATCTCTTAATTGTTCTATAACCTTTTACCCCTCTTCTTGTGTGTTTCAGGATCTCAAGAAGGGGATGAAGAATGATGGAGGGCATGAAGCAGGTGGATTATATTACCTTGATGATGGTGGTTTGGATGTAACACTTCAATCTTCTCTTACTCCTCTCCGGTTAGGGCTGTCAATGGGTCGGATCTAGGTTAGGATCAGCTAGAACCAGAACCAACCCAATAAGAAATATTGAGGACATAGAAACAAACTAGACCCGATAAGGTCTATAATTTTTAAACCTAGAACCGAACCGATCGGTTCTCGGGATAATAGGGTTTGACCCAGTGGACCCGATTATAATAAATAAATAATTAAATACATTTAATATATATTAAATATTATATGCATTATACATTATATATATTATATGTATTATATGAATATAGCTCAGGTCGGCTCTAAATTGGTTTGGGACTAGGTGGAACTGGTTCCGAACCAATAATAATAGGGACACTATATCAGGACCCAGAACTGACTTGTCGGTTTCAATTCTTGGAACCAGAACCGACCCATGTTCGGATCCATCGGGTCGGATCCCAACCCATTGACAACCCCATCTCCAGTGACACTGCAGACTTAGTCACCCGTCTCTCAAGGCCCTAAAGTTACTTGTTCCATCATTAAGTCATCCTTCTTCTTTGGATTGTGAGTCGGGTTAGTTTGGAAAACACCATAGAGTCTCTTTCAGTCCTAGGGTTGATAGTCGTGTTTTGAATCCTTTTTCATTAGTTCATTCAGATGTTTGGAGTCCAAATAAAGTAGTGTCGTATAATGGCTACAAGTACTTTGTAATTTTTATTGATGATTATTCAAGGATGACATGGCTTTATCTTATGAAAGACAAAAGTGAATTGTTCTCTATTTTCCAAAAATTCCATGTTGAAATTTGTATCCAATTTGGTGCTCATATTAAGATTCTTTGTTATGATAAGTGATAATGCAAAAGAATACAACTCAACACCATTTCAGCAATATTTAGAACATGCAGGGTAAGCACCAAACTTCTTGTTCTTGTAACCCACAACAAAATGGTGTGGCTGAAAGAGCCTACACTTACTTGAAACTGCTAGGTCCATTATGCATGATATGAATGTTCCCAAGCAATTTTGGAGTGATGTTCTTACATCATATTTTCTCATCAATCGGATGCCTATGTCTATTATTGGAAGTCAGTCACCTTTCTCAGTTTTGTTTCCTAGTTTATCTCCATTTCCTCTTACTCCTAGAGTTTTTGGTTGTGTCTATTTTGTTCACAATCTAGAGCCTAGACTAGATAAGTTAGATGCACGTGCTAAAAAATGCATCGTTCTTGAATATTCTAGAACCCAAAAAAGGGTATAAGTGTTGCAATCCTAGCTCCCATCATTCATTTGTGTGTTTAGATGTTATTTTCTTTGAATATGTCCCCTTCTTCTCTAGTGCTAAGGTTCCTCCACCTCCCGTGTTTCCTCTTCCTATTCCAGTTGAGGACCTCATTCCTACAGTTCCTATTATTTCTCCATCATCATCTTCTCCAATGCAGGTTACTACTGAAAGACCACCAATTATGCAAGTGTATACATACAGAAGGACAACGGCTCCTCCAGTTCATTCCTCGTCGACGAATCCAGAAATTGTACCCCCTCCTTCTGATCTTGATCTCCCATTGCATTGCAAAAGGTAAACGTAGTTGTACTTCTCACCCTATTTCCCATTATGTTTTTGTTGCTCACCTTTCTGCTACCCATCGTCAATTTATATTGTTATCCTTTGTTTTCATTCCTAAGAATGTCCAAGAAGCCATTACCCCTCCAGGGTGGTAACAAGCAATGGAAGAGGAGTTGTCTGCACTAGCACACAATCACACGTTGAACCTTACCACTCTCCCCCCCGGTAAGCATGTTGTCAGATATAAGTGGGTGTATATAGTGAAATATCTTCCAGATGACAGTGTTGAAAGGTTGAAGGCTCGATTGATGGCAAAAGGATACTCTCAATTGTATGGTGTTGACTACACGAAAGCTCTCTCCCGTGCCAAGGATTGGTTTAGTTTGGGTGTTGATCTGTTTAGCGGCAATGTATGATTGGCCTCCCTTTCAGGTTGACATTAAAAATGCCTTCTTACATGGTGATCTCCTTGAAGAAGTATATATGCAGCAACCACCAGGGATTGTTACTCAAGAGGAGGATGGTAAGGTTTGTAGACTTAATAAGGCGATCTATGGGTTGAAACAGTCTCCACGCACGTGGTTTGGCAAATTCAGCGAAGTGGCAAGGAACTTTGGCATGAAACAATGCCAAGTTGACCATTCTGTGTTTAGCTATAAATCAAATGCTGGAAATATTTTGTTAATGGTGTATGTAGATAACATTGTCATCACTAGTAGTAATATCAGTGGGATTGACAAGTTGAAGACTTTTCTGCATGAACACTTCCAAACAAAAGACAGGGTAAGCTAAAATATTTTTTGGGGAATAGAAGTTGCAAAATCAAGACATGGTATTAACTTGTGCCAAAGAAAGTATGTCCTCGATTTGCTTGAAGAGACAGGGTTACTAGGTGCCAAACTAGCTGAAACACCTATGGAACCAAATGTCAAGTTGAGTACCAATGCAGGTGAAGAATTTGAAGATCCTAGAAGGTACAAAAGGTGGGTGGATAAGTTGAATTACCTGACTATTACTCGACCAGACATATCATTTGCAATGAGTGTGGTGAGTCAGTTATGCAGCATCCTCGGGTTCCACATTAGGATGCAATTCTGAGGATTGTTAGATGCTTGAAGGGAGCTCCAGGCCATAGATTGTTATACAAGAGTGGAGGAACTCTTGAGATAGTGGGGTACATAGATGCTGATTAGGTCAGGTCGCACATACTACATGTAAACTAGTGTGGCTGAAAAATCTTTTGCAGGAGATGGCGTTCTTAGTTGACAAGCTTATGAAGTTGTACTATGATAACCAAGCCACAGTCCACATCTCTTCTAATCCAATCTTTAATGAGAGAACAAAGCATATTGAAGACGGTTTCCACTTTGTAAGAGAAAAGGTGATCAATGGAGTGATAAGTACAACACATATAAGTTCAGGAAATCAATGGGCAGATCTGTTTACAAAAGGGTTGAGTCGTGGGAGAGTGGATTACATATGTAACGAGCTAGGATTATATGATATATACTCACCAACTTGAGGGGGAGTGTTAGAGTCGGCAGAATAAGGGGTAGTTTGGTCATTTTGTCATTTAATTAGAAGTGTGTCTATTTTATCTGTGTTTAAGTTGTGTGTCCCATACTTAATGAGGGGCATAGTTGTCTTTTGTATTCTAATGCATAAGTTATAAATACAAGGAGGGTTGGCTGAGAGTAGATGATTTTTCTCTCTGGCCGAACCCTATCTTTCGTTCCTCTCTTTTTTTCTTATTTCTGAACTAGGACTGAACTAGTGCTGATCGATCCACAAACAGTTGTATATGGTTTGGGAAATGGCAGGGTGTGAGCTAAAAGGTTCTTGACACTATTCTTGTTTTGTTATACTTTTTAAGTTTCATGTGTACTTTTTTCTTGGGCCATCTGCTTTTTCCTTTTAATATAATTTTCCTCTGGTATACTGATATATGTATGTATATTAACTATAAAACCAATGAAAGGTTCAAGCCTGAAGATGACAAGATTGTCATCTGTCAAGAGTAAAAAAAAGGCATATCACTAAAATTCAGAAATCAGAACCTGCCTTGATATGATGTAGAATAAATAATAAAGTTCATCAGTGGAAAATAGAATCATTAGATAAACGAAACATGGGTTAATATAGAGAATATAATACCATAAAAACCCAATTAATCTTAATCTAATCTAATCCAACCTCATTAATACAAACCTAGATTATTACTATTACATATGCTACTAATGACATGAATCATGATACATTGATGAGGATAGGATAATCCTAATTAATAATTTATAACAAAAAAGCAAAAGAAACCCAACCAATCTTAATTGGTACAAATCAGAATTAGATGAGATGGTGATCATACACTCATGTAAAGCTTGTTAAAATAATAATATAAAGTGCTACTTTTCCCAGTACAATGTGTTGTTTGGAAGCAAGAACATATGAATTTGATGCCACCACCAAAAAAAAAAAAAAAAACTAGAAAAGAAACGAAGACACAAAAGACAAGGATTTCATGTTGTTTGGCAGGAATGCCTACAATGAAGAGAAAAGAGAAAAAGAACCCACTTACAGTGAGACTAAAATCCAAAAGGAGACAAAGAAGAACTCTATTCTTCATAAGAGAAACGTCCCTTTGACCTAAGGCAAATCTCTTCTCAAAATCTCAAATCCAAAAATTAATACCCAAATCCAAAGAACCAAGCTAATACAAATTAAAAACCCTCAAGGAAAAACCCCAAAATATGATTCCAAAACAAGATAACCAAGTGCATATGCATCTGGAAAAAGTACTACTAAGATTTTACGACAGTAGAGATAAAAGAAAAGGTGATCAAAAGCTAAATTTCATATGAGATTCTGCAAAAAAAAATAATTAAGCATTGCATTTATTCAAAGAAGAAGAAGAAGCAAAGTATCTATCCATTTATTGCTAATAGAGATCCTTACATCAAGTGGAGGGTTAAGAAGTTCAATTCCATTGCTTATTTGACCATATGGTTCCATCAGATCAACAACATTCTGCATATCATCCTTTGTCAAAGTCAGTCCTAGATGATTTACTAGCCATCTGCTGATCCCCTTCACAATTTTTATTTCCCTCAGCCATTTGGGAACAGCGTCACTGAAACTCTACACATAAGCGACATGAAGTTAGTATTCACAGTCATTTGCACATATCTTGCCACCAAAATCAGAATGGACTCAATGGACTCAATTTTGCTCATCATAAAACCAAAAGCATTTCAAGTGAGCCCCTCCTCCCCATATTTTCTCTATTCATTATTTGCTCATAATATCACTAAAATCATAAATGGAATCAATTTTGCTCCTCATATTAAAAAGGCAGAAATCCCAACAAATATGGAACAAAGAGTAAAAGAATTTCCAATGGAAGGATATAGTTTATAAAACGAAAACAAGCATCATACAAACTTATATCTTGATGATGAATGTCTGAAAAACTAAAGACATCTTGTAGAATGGGCTTGGTGTGTTGGCATGATTTAGAGAAGGCTTACAACTTGGTAGATTGGACTATCTTGGAATGGCTAATGGAGAAGTTTGGCTTTGGTGAAAATTGAAGTGGATAAGAGGTTGTTTTAGGATGTCACATTATTCTGTTTTGATCAATGAAGCATTCAGTGACTTCTTCCTAGCCAAGAGAGGCTCTGAGATAGGGGGACCCTCTTTTACTGTTTCTTTTTTACCCTATTGGCATGTGCTTAATAGATTAATAATGAGGTTAGATGGGCACGGTGATTAGAGGGTGGAGGATAGGTAGAGAAGAAGTTATGATTTCTCATTTGCAGTTTAGAGGCAATATTGCCCTCCTCCCCCNCCCATGTTTGCCTCCTTTGCAAAGCAAGGAACAATGGCATCTTCAGGGAGAAGGAAAGAACTATTGAAGAACAGACCGGCATTATATCTCTTAAAGTTGTGCACTGGATTAAGACTTTGTAAATCTTTTCTGATAACACAATGGATGATATCCTTAGAAATTGGAAGCAAGTGGCTAATTCTGCTCCTTGGACAGTGAAATCAGTTGTTAGTTGGGTTCCTCCACTTTCAGGTCATCTAAAACTTAACTTTGATGTGTGCGGTTTGGGTAACCTTGGGCCCTCAGGCATAGATGGAGTAATCAGGGATGAAAATGGCAACATTTTAGAACTTTTCTCAGGACCGTTGGGAGTAGGAAATGCAATCTGGGCAGAGACATGGGCAGCACCCACAGGCACTAGTACAGTCATAGCTTAGATATGTGTTCAGACTTGAGAGAGCTGAAAAAAACTATTAGAGGATCTGCAGGCACAAGTAATGTGGACGCCAAGATCAGCCAATGGATTAGCTGATGTATTAGAAAAATAAGGGGTTTCAAGGGATTAGTTGTAATGGGGCCAAATTGGTTGTGTTGCTTGCATCTTTGGGTGATTAGCCAAGGCTAGCCCCCTTTTTCTGGCCATCTGGGCTCTCCCTTCATGTTGTATCTTTACCTCTTTTATAGTCAATAAAACTTTTACCATTACTCGTAAAAAAAAATCTCCTGTTTATTTGTGTCTTCAAAGATCCTATGGAATATTTGGGAGAGAACGCTAGGCTATTCAAAGAGCAAAATCGGACTAAACAGGCAATTATTGAAAGCACAACTGCCAAGGTGACACATTGGATTAAAACTACGGACAGGCCCATTGCAGATTTCTGAATTCCACTGCAGACCTATAAAAATTCAAAATGTCAAATACCCCCACTGTATACACCAATGCCCGCCTGTGAATTGGCATCAATTCCAAGCTGGCACCTACCCCAACTGTACTTTGGGCCTAAGAATTCTGACCCTGGGCTGAACCATCATTCTCCCTTAAGACTATGGATGAGTATTTTGGGCAATGGGAAAGAAAAAGGTGTGTGCTTTTGGTGATCAACACGTGGAAGAGGAACTAGTTTTGGAAAAGAAAAAGCGGTTCATTGAGAATGTGGAAGGTTGCCGAAGAGGTGGATTCAAGTAAATAGAATGATAGGTGTGGGGGCCAAAACTTTCATCCTGTTCACTATGGATAAGATCCTTAGAGGGTGGAGGTGGGTGGCTTCTTCGTCAACCTTGAGGCAACAAATACACACACAATGGGAACCACCAACAATGGAGGGGTGTTTAGGGATGAGCATTGCACTATACTAGCAATATTCTCATGGTCAATAAACTGGCGAGAATCTATAAAATCTGAAATGTCAGCAATGCTACAAGGATTAGAGTAGGAAAATCACCTAACATTAAAAATATGTTGGTGGAAGGTGACTCTAATACGGTGGTGAGATGACTAAGGAACAATGGTCCAGGACCATGGCAGCACAAGCACATTTTTAAGAGAGATTAGACTTTTAGCAAGAGTACTGGATTCTACAATTCAGTGGATTCAATGATCATCAACTTGGCAGATGAACTGCCAAAACAAGGGGTGAACAGGGATCATTTATTTTTGGGATCATTAACTTGGCAGATGGGATGGATAGGTTACAGCAACCACCTATTTTAAAGTTTACTTGATTGTTGTACATATTTTGTTCTTTATTCATTGATTCATTCTAATAAAATTTTAACTTTTACCTATCAAAAAGAGGAAAACAAACTCAGATGCAAAGCAGCATATACAAGTAATAGCCCATTTACAAGGAAAATAACAGAAAGAGTAATTTTTTCTTTTCAATGACAGTAACAGTAGTTGGCACTTGGTGCTAACAGGGAAGTAAAACAATGATGCAATTACAATCTGTGTTGCAAGGACTCTCCTAAATGGGCAAGGTCATGCATCAGAGTCCAATAGTTCATGTATTCTTGACAACACTTCAAATAAACTATCCAAAGAAATTAGCATACCCATATTAGAAATATTTAAAATTACAGAAACAAGATCATTAAAACAATGTTATTAAGTTCCAAACCACAGTTCTGGTTTCATTTATGAAAACACAAGTGAATGAAAATGGAAGATATGTAATAAGCCAGTCAAAGTAATTCCCTCTTATAAATTGTTGATAAAGACAAAATACAAGCATCCATTATTCTTACCGCAAACCAGCCACAGTAACTAATAAGTTCATCTGTGTCAAGGAATTTGCTCCTAAAGGCGCTACCTTCCAATGCTAAAGGAACAAGCTTTAACTCTACAGGCCGTAAGAGAGCTGTCTTTTCAGCAACCTGGAGAATATGTTGACACTTCAGAAGAAAAAGTAACTCTAATTTCTAAAAGTAACAAAGCATTAAATGATGATGGGAACTTGGTTGTAACTAATGCTTTGGTCAAATAAGAAGCAATTACCCATATTTACAAATTCAGTGATAGCATATTGCCAATAAAGTAATCAAGACATTTATAGAGTTTCCCATGTAAAGCATCATTAGAAAGGAGACAGGACTTGAAATCTTTCTATGAGTAGGAATAAACAAAAAATTATCAGACCTAAGTAGGCAATAAAAATACACACATTTATAGAGTTTCCAATACCTTGGTTAGCAACACAAAATTTTACTGGAATCAACATATTCCCTAGTAAACACTACCAGCACTATGTAGAGTAGAATATTGTAGATATTATTATAACATAAGTTGGTGACAATATTGTAGATATGTAGAGTAGCAATGTTATTGCCGACCTAATGTACATGATTACCACTTTGATCCAGCTCAATATTCATTTCAAACATGAAGCTAAATATTAGTTTTTGTTTTTCTAATAGATTATTTGGTTGATCCAGTAGAATCATTTGCATTTTCTATGAGCTTAAATTTTCTTGAACTCATTCTATCACGTAGTTCTGAATCTTAAGGTTTACAAGACAACTTCACAACGTATTATTTTGTAATAGTTATTACTAAAATAACTATTCTATTATTAATATTTTCATTTGTAGTTAGATATTAATGTAAATTTGATAAATTATTTATTTCATTAATGTTTATAAAATACTAATTTTTAATTTTGTTTAGACTGCATGTTGACAATAAACCTTGCAACAGATGACAAGACGCCAATAAAAGGTGGCCTAGTGGCTCAAGATACCAAGCACTTAGTGACTTAGAGTTACGACTTGAGTTTGAATCACGCTAGTCGCTATTTTTAATAGGAGATGCACATGTATCGTGGTATCGGCACGCATCAGACCATACCATCCAATACAGTATATGATACACACCAATACTCATGTATCTTGATGATACGCATGACTGGATGTGTATCGTGACAGTCATAGTGTATCATGTACAGTGATTTAAAAGGCGTGCCTAGGCGCACAGGCAAGGCGCATTTTGGGTATGCACCTCGCCTAGGTCCTAGGCGCACCCCTTTCAAAAGGCGCATGCCAATTGCCTTTTAAGAAGATATTTTATTGGAATGAGTGAATGAACAACATTAGCAAATAAGGGCGTGGCCAGGGGCCCCGGCCCAGGCATGCACCTTTTCAAAATTTTGCACTTTTTGCCTTTTTTTTTAAGTCTAACAGCTGGGCCGGGGCCCCTGGCCACGCCCTTATTTTCTAATGTTGTTCATTCATTCATTCCAATAAAATATCTTCTTAAAAGGCAATTAAAGTTATAGAATCGTTATTTTTCATGTGAGAAATAAGAATTTCAAACCCTAACATAGACTTGTTCGGACTTGTCTCGAGGGACGTGGTACAAAGGCGACTCATAGAATCAATAATGCAATATGTTTTACATCACATTAGCTACTTGAAGCAATGCAATTAAGGAAAAAAAAAAGATTGTGGGTTTTACATGCTTAAAAATGCTTTATATGTTTGATTTTATTTTTAAATTTTCATTTAAATATGCTTTACATGTTATGTTTATGTATTTTAGTTTAAGATAATTGGTTTTTTAAAACATTTATTTTAAAATTTATGTTTATATTTTTTATTAACATTATGTTTAATATTTTTTATTTTTTTGTGTTAGAGTGAGCCGAATAGGGGTAGTTTAGTAATCTCATGTCAGTTAA